ACATGCTAGTTCTGGGGAAATCACTTCACTGTCTCTGGGCTAGAATGGGGATTAGAGGTCAGAGGTTGGTACAGACTGGTAGGGAATGGTGTCTTGTTTTCAGACAAGTTTCCATCTAATATTCTTGCTGGTTGTCCTGTATGAGGAGCAATGAGTTGTGACACATCTCTGACAATCAACGTCTGCAGACTCGATAATCGCTAGAATTCCATCTCCGTCCATTGCACCCAGCACATCCTACAGAGACAAGCACAATCCACATTACATATATCATTATCATGCTGCTCATACATGTAACAACTATCAATCACTTATAGATACATCATTTCAGATGGTCTTAACCAGTTCAGCAATGTTACTTTGTATCTCTCTATCTCCCTCTGATCAATGTTTATATACAATGTTACTTTGTATCTCTCTATCTCCCTCTGATCAATGTTTATAAACAATGTTACTTTGTATCTCTCTATCTCCCCTCTGATCAATGTTTATAAACAATGTTACTTTGTATCTCTCTATCTCCCCCTCTGATCAATGTTTATAAACAATGTTACTTTGTATCTCTCTATCTCCCTCTGATCAATGTTTATATACAATGTTACTTTGTATCTCTCTATCTCCCTCTGATCAATGTTTATATACAATGTTACTTTGTATCTCTATCTCCCTCTGATCAATGTTTATATACAATGTTACTTTGTATCTCTCTATCCCCCTCTGATCAATGTTTATATACAATGTTACTTTGTATCTCTCTATCTCCCTCTGATCAATGTTTATAAACAATGTTACTTTGTATCTCTCTATCTCTCCCTCTGATCAATGTTTTATATACAATGTTACTTTGTATCTCTCTATCTCCCTCTGATCAATGTTTATAAACAATGTTACTTTGTATCTCTCTATCTCCCCTCTGATCAATGTTTATAAACAATGTTACTTTGTATCTCTCTATCTCCCCCTGATCAATGTGTATAAACAATGTTACTTTGTGTCTCTCATTAATGCAGTCAATTTATAAAAGATCGGACTCCTGTTATAATGAATAATACTCTTTACATTCTGAGAAGTGACTATGTGATAGCAATGACAGGTACTCTCAATGCAGACACTAGTGGACTGTTAGATTAAATGAGAAATATGGGGTCAGTGTTTTTCCCCATAGTCCTCCTCAGGGTAACGGGGGGACACAAACTAGCGTCCTCCCGTCACCCAAAGCTCAGTATATAGGGAGCTACAGCTCGCGGTATACTGAGACGCCGCAGCTGGGATGGATCCCGACATTACTGTCTGGATCCACACAGCTGCGTGATTGACAACTGGCTCCTCCTATCTAGAGGCAGAGCCAGCTGTACCCGCCGCCTCCCCAGTCCGTTCCACCAGTCAGCGCTGGAGCGGGGAGAATCCCTGCAGGGAGTGGTGAGTGACAGTCACGGCTCTCTGCAGGGACAGGATCGTGAAGTGAGCGAGCGCCGGTATGTGTTCCCTCACTTCCCGATCTATTGAGCCGACGTGTGACAGTTTCATTGTCACAGGTCGGCTCGAACTATGAGACCGAGTGATTTTCCTTCACCACATAGTTCTCCTTTAATGATACCTCCTCGGCTTCTAGCCAGTGCAGATCAGGGACATGGAGTCCTCAGTTTGATGTTTTTATATGTTCATAGCTGAGCTCTTCCAGGTCCATTCAGTTTAGAAGGGATCAGTGAATGGTCCTCAGAGAAGCAAAGTGAGCCAAGGGACCACCAGAGGGAGGTAAAGGACCCTCTGAGGAGAAAGGTGAAGAGGCTCAGCCACTAACGTTCATTATTTAGGACTGTTGGAAGGACCCGTGCAGATGTCTGTAAATAAAATGCTGCAATGATATCAGTACCGGGTTTTTATTTGACAGATGTGGTGTATTGTCTTCTATGGGCTCATGCACACAGCGCATAACGATCAGGACCTTGTGCTGCCTTCACATTTGTAAAATAAGACAGAGAAATCTGCATTGACAGCCTTGTATTTGGACCCCATTTTACACTGCTCTGGTGTTCTGGTAGATCATAGACTCAATAATAGCATGCAATGTCAGGCCGCAGTTTCTAAAGCAGCAAAATCCTTCCTTGTATTATACGGGGTCTCCGGACTCCAGAGATAGGGACATAATCCTGCCCCTGTACAAAGCATTAGTAAGACCTCATCTGTCTCCATCCTTCCTTGTATTATACGGAGTCTCCGGACTCCAGAGATAGGGACATAATCCTGCCCCTGTACAAAGCATTAGTAAGACCTCATCTGTCTCCATCCTTCCTTGTATTATACGGGGTCTCCGGACTCCAGAGATAGGGACATAATCCCGCCCCCGTACAAAGCATTAGTAAGTCTATAATTTTGCCACTTTATAGATCATTGGTTCGACCTCATCTGGAGTACGCGGTCCAGTTCTGGTCACCAGTACTAAGAAAAGATGTCCTTGAGTTGGAAAAAGTCCAGCGAAGGGCAACCAAACTAATTAGGGGTATGGAGGACCAGAGCTACGAGACGAGGCTACTAAATTTAAACATGTTCACATTAGAGGTGAGGAGATTAAGGGGGGATATGATTTCCATGTACAAAATGTTTAATGGTGGCAGCAACATTAGCGATAAACTGTTTAAAATTAACTCCGTTACAAAGACTAGAGGCCACCACCTAAAATTG